GGCCCTGGGCTAACATCCGTGCCCCTCTTCCTCTGCTTTATATAGGACACCGCCACAGCATGGCTTAGCCAAGCGGTGCGTTGGTGTGGGCCTGGGATCTGAACCGGCGAACCCCGGGCCACTGCAGCAGAGCGTGAGCACTTAACCGCTTGCGCCACAGGGCCGGCCCCAAGAAATGAACCGTTTTGGAAAGGTCCTAATTCTCTTTGTACTGCAAATGTTTATATTTAGCCAGAGAGTAATCCATTTAATCGTTTTTAGAAAACCCTCAGATAATTTATATTACTATTAAGTTGTAAGAAGTAGTACTGTATGTGTGAATGCTTTAAGATGCCTTTATAAAAAAATGTTCAAGTTTGGACAACTCTGAATTTATAATACAAATTGTAAGAGATTAAATTTTTAAATTCTGTGTGGCCCTTTGGCTAATGTAGCAGCTGCTTTCATTAAAGAGCTATAGATATTTAGTAAATTTCACACATTTTTAAAGCCCTTTTTCCCTAAATTGTCATAGAATAACATTGTTTAGTATAATACATTCAAATTGCAAAATCAGGTTTCTCTATAAACTTGACCACTTTAGAAATTGGCCATGTCTTGATCATCCTAAACATAGTCTTTCCATCATCCTATGAAAAAGATCTATTAAAGAAGGGAAGTCAAAAGAAGACAGTCACTCAGCCTTCACAAGGCACTATTTACTTGTCTTTTCTTCCAGTAGATTTTCTTTCTTCAGCCCGTGATACTTAGGCTTCCTAATATCACCGTTCTTTGAACTTAATCAGATTTCTATGGAGGAGGGAAGTGAAGGTCAAGAAAGCTGCATGAATCGCAAGCCTCCGGGGCCTAGACCGCCCTATAGTACTGCGTTGGTAGCGCTCGTATTTTGCACCTGTGTGCCATCAAGGGTGATATATTCTTGTTTGGTGTGGTAGCAGAAAAGTGTTTGGAAACTGGGGTCAAAGTTGCTTTTTGCATTGGAACAGGTTGGCAGAAAGAGAGAAGAATGGTTTCATACATACTAGTTTCTTTTCTTCTGTTTTTACCTTAACTGAAACTCAGTCTTGTGGAGACTTTTCCACTTCCAGTAAACTTTGAGTTTGTGGTATGAAACTTGGTGGATTCACTGGTTTTCTTGTCGTCTCTTGTGACTGTACTCAATATTTGTTTGATGTAACACAGTGGTTGCCAAGCTTTGCTGCACATGAGAGTCACCTGAGGAGCTTAAAAAATCTACTTATGCCCGGCTGCCAACCCCAGGTGGTCTGCCCTCTTTGGTGCGGGTGTGATCTGTGTATTGGGAGGTTTAAAAGCTCCTCAGATAATTCTCATGTGCTGAAAAGCAGGGGATCCACTGGTCTAGCCCCATTTTTCTCCTTGACTTGGTGGAGAATCAGACCAACAGTGAAAGATCAGGCGCCTGGCTGAGAAACGCCCTTGGGGATAGGTCTGCCTAGTTGGTGCATGTTCTGCCTCTGGTGAAGTCAGAGGGTAGAGAGTGGAAGTTGTGATGAGGGGATGATTCCCTTTGAGGATTTTTCCTTTTCTTTGATCATTTCCTGAACAAGTTTTCTTTTTTTTTCTTTTTAAGGTGAATGATATTTTTGGTATTAAATCATTAGAGAAATCAAGTTTCTTTGATATTTCTGAGTTTTAAATCATTTTCAGGTAATGGTGGTTGGTGACTCAGAGACACCATACCTGTGCATTTCTTACTGCATAGTTCTGAATCAAATTCTGTGGATTCACAAAAGTTGGAACTTTCCTCTATTTCGTCCTTTCTCTTTTCCCATTGTTTTTTACAGTTTCAGTTGAAATCTGGGAATCCTTATGATCAGAATTCTCTTGGGATCCAATTTTCTTTTTATACAGTGGTAGTTTATTTTGGGTCTTAGTTATTTTGAGGCACCTCTTGAAATTGGATATTGTTGAGCATAAGGGTTTTCCAAAGCTCCAGTCGGTCTTTGTTTCCTTGGTTCTTTGTCTGGCACGGAGTTGACATTACCGTTTTCCCTGCTGCGGGACTCGTGGTGGTTTTCAGATGGGCTGATAGACTGTTCCCGACACTGGTGAAGGTCCTTGTGCTGGGCTTAGGTCAGCTTCTTGGGAAGGGCTTTCCTTCGCACCATGCTTTGCTTTCTCAGTCAAAGCTGGGCCTGTTTTCTTCAGCCGAGGCCTTGTTTGGCCGGAGGAGTGCAGCGGGCAGCTGTGTGAGGTAAGCCGCCCTCCAGCCAGTGTTGTGTGTGTGTTGGCTGAGTGTGTTACAGTTTGTACCTCAGAACTGGGAAGAGGACAGTATTTTACTTGAGATTTTTCACTTAGTCTTCTCTGGTCACCTTTTCCTGATCTTTCAAGTGCTGAGACTTGACACAAATTTGAACAGGTAGGAGTTTTAGAAGAGACAAAAGATGACCTAGGAATTTCTCTTTTGATGAAGAAGAGGCTAAGTGCTGCCTTAGAGGCTGAGGTAGTAACCCTTCCTTGGTGTGGAGTGTCATCATCTCAGTGAGCTTTCATTTTTGAAATGGGTCCATGGATGGTTGTAAACAAATACAGCTTAAATGCTTTAACAGGAATTAAAAGTTTGATGATGATGGAACTGATAAGAAAAGTTCTGGTAAAAATAGTCTTTTCACATATTTCTGTTTGGAAACATTTCTGTGACAATGCCAGAGATATTGTGAGGAGAGATTAGCTCAGAATTTTTATTAGAATTGATAAGTAAGCATTTTGAGCCTTTTCTGGCACTAGTAACCGTTTGTGTTGAAGATGTAGCCTACTATTGAAAGTTCGTATTAATTATTCTTTGCGTTTTTCAGAGTTGATTTGACTTATAAAAATGAATTATTGTGGCTTTTACATTAATTTTTATACTAAATGACTTTAATTCTAGGCCCCTCAAATTTCTTTTGGAAGTAGATCACAAATTATAAATACATTTTCATTCTGAACTCATTAAATAACACCTGCTCCCAGTTTTCTCCTTGTAGCTCCACAGAAAACCAGAATAAACTTTTGTAAATTACATAGGCAAAGAAAATCTTGCACTGTTAATTCTTTTTTTTTTTTTTTTTTTTTTGGTGAGGAAGACCAGCCCTGAGCTAATGTCCGATACCAATCCTCCTCTTTTTGCTGAGGAAGATTGGCCCTGGGCTAACATCTGTGCCCATCTTCCTCTATTTTATATGGGACGCCGCCACAGCATGGCTTGACAAGTGGTGTGTTGGTGCGCGCCCTGGATCCCAACCTGTGAACCCCAGGCTACCGAAGTGGAGCGCGGGCATTTCACTGCTGCCCCACCAGGCCGGCCCCTGCATTGTTAATTCTTATCATTTTGCATTCTTGTAACCACGAGCTAAAGCCAGGCTCTTTCTTCATGAACCTCCTGAAGGTTTCTCTCCGCCTGGGTTTGACACTTGGTTCTCATTCCTTGGGTCAGCAGTTTGTGCCTAATGATTTTTTTTTTTTTTTAAATATTTATTTATTTAGTGTGTGTGTGTGCGCGCACACGCACGAGGAAGATCAGCCCTGAGCTAACATCCATGCCAATCCCCCTCTTCCCGCTGAGGGAAGACTGGCCCTGAGCTAACATCCGTGCCCATCTCCCTCTGCTTTATATGGGACGCCGCCACAGCATGGCCCTACAAGCGGTGCATCGGTGCGCACCCGGGATCCGAACCTGGGCCGCCAACAGTGGAGCCCACGCACCTAACCGCTACGCCACGGGGCCGGCCCTGTGCCTAATGATTTTTAGCTGTCAGCTAATAGTTTTCTTTCTTGAATTGTAGTCTGATTTCACTGCTGCTACCCATCCTCGTGCTTTTTACCTCAATAAACCAGATGAGAGTCCAAATTCTTGGATATCTGATTCAGGAACAGGTATGATACTTATACTTTTAAAGAGTTGTTTTCTTTTTATATAACAACTTGTCTGCATTTCGCATAGGATGATAATCATGTACAGTATATTTCAGTGGTTTCTGTAAATATATTATATGATTTGCCTCTGGTAGCTGTAACTTCCTTTTTTTTTTGTGAGGAAGATCAACCCTGAGCTAACATCCATGCCAATCCTCCTCTTTTTTGCTGAGGAAGACTGGCCCTGAGCTAACATCTATTGCCCATCCTCCTCCTTTTTTTCCCCGAAGCCCCAGTAGATAGTTGTATGTCATAGTTGCACATCCTTCTAGTTGCTGTATGTGGGATGCCACCTCAGCATGGCCTGACAAGTGGTGCGTTGGTGCGCACCCGGGATCTGAACCCGGGCCGCCAGTAGCGGAGCGCGCACACTTAACCACTAAGCCACAGGGCTGGCCCCTGAAACTACCTTACTTGCCTTAATTTGTGTTACAAATTCTGTAAAGATGGACAAAAATACTTTTGCAGTTATTTCAAACAGCTGCAAAAATCATCTCAGCATCTTTCAGGTGTCCCAAAACAAATTAAGAAATTTAAACCCTCTGTGAGCCATTCTTAATTCTCCATGGTAAGCTTATTTTAGCTTTAATGGCTTTATATACTGACTCCTTTTGTTCCACAATCCCACGTCCAGTTCATCAGGAGGAATTAGCTCTGCTTTATGAAAATTGCTGGAACCCAGCCCACCTTCCTGCCATAACCCTTATGGAGCCCCCATCCTCTGTCACCTGGGCTCCTGCAGCTTCCTAACCAGCCTCCTTGCTCTCACTCTGGTACCTTCCATCTTCTCTGCACGGTAGCCAATGTGATCCTTTTTAGAGCTAGGTCAGATCATATGACTCCTCTATTCAAAACTCTGCAGTGGTTTGGCTTCCCTTAGAATAACAGCCAGAGTCCTTACAGAGGCCCACAGGCCCAGCAAGATCTAGCTTGTTCTCTTTGACCTCACTTTATGCTGCTCTCTCCCTCTCTCTGCTCAGCAGGGAGGCTGTTTGCTCAAATATGCCAGTTGTGTTCTCATTTTAGGCCTTTTGCATTGGCTTCTTCCTGTACTTGGAATGTTCTTCCCCCATATATGGGGGAACTCCTTCGTATGTGGCTAAAATGGCCAACTTCTTAATTATTACCCTCGCAATGAGCCAACCCTGACCACCCTATTCAGAAAGAGCGCCTGCCCTCCCCCACCATGCTACATATGCTCTTTTACCTGATTTTTAACTTTTACCACCTTCTGACATACTGTATGTGCTGCGTGATTTACTTATTGTTCGTGTCTCACTCTTTCTGCTCCCCCAGCCTAGCAGAGTAAAAGCTCAATAAATATTCGAATTATTGAATTCTTTACATTTCTTCCATGTAAGTCTGTACTATTCATAAAGAAATTGTCTTTTAAAAATATTTTTTAAATTGCACTAGTTTATCTTGACTTTTAATATATTTCAGTTTTGAATATTTGGATCATTAAGTTAGGACCCTTCATGGTAAGGCATTTGTGTGAATCTTTTCCCATCCAAATTCAGCTTCCTGTATCTAGACAGCCAAAGACTAGTTCCCTATTTCATTTTCTTTAGGTAGAAATAAATTATTCTAGAAAGCATTTTGTTTTCATTCCTCACTCTTTTCTATTCTGTCTGTTTGTCCACGTTAGGACTGACTCACTGGAAGCTGGAGAAGGACACGTATCACTCTTTGCCTGAGACTTCAGAGAAGGCGTTCACACCATCCTCCACTGATATGTCACCAAGCCAGGTAATTTAAAAACACATTGTGTGTGTGTATTTGCATTATACAATTGTAGTTAAGTAGTCTATTTCGTTATAAATTTTGTAGTTTTCAATTTCTGATACAGAGAAAAACGTGGGCTTTAAATCATACTCATCTGCTTTCAGATTCTGTCTCTGTCATTCACTGCCTATGTGATCTTAGGAAAGTAACTTAAAAATGGAATTAAATGGCTGGGTAGTGTTTTGTGAAATTAAATGAGATAGTTTTGTGCCTACTATTTAAACATAGTAGATCCACAGATAAACTTCTCCTGTTCCCAGACCTGGCTTTGATTTTCCATCCTATTATACCGTTCCGCTAATTCATTTGTACTATAATTCTGAGCAATTTAATTTGCTGTATTAATTTTCTTTGAGCAAGAAATGTAAATATTTTGTTTACTTCAGAGGAAAGAAATAAAACTGTCCAGTATGTGTACATCGGGGTACGTATCTCACTTCTGCGTTTTGATCAGGTGATGAGCGAGTAGGTTGGGGAAAAGGAGAGATACAATTGAAGTAACCAGGCAAGCTGTGAACACAGCTGACAGGCGTAGACAGATAGGGCAGCAGGGAACCAGCATACTTGTCAACATCAGTCCCATAGAAGAGCAGAACCCAACATTTCATCCTTCAGGAAAGGAGCAAAAAAGAGAGACAGATAAACACAAAGAGAAGGGAAGGACGGGGGAAGTGAGATTGTGAGGGCGCTGGAAGGCTCAGTGGGCTTTGTGGTTACAGGGCTCACTGTTTGTGTTATCTGATCTGCAACAGTAAATTAGCACTGTTTTGTTGACTGTAAGATGCCATCAATTTTAAGACTTCTGTTTCATAGTCTACCAAGAAAAAATTTACCAGACTGATACAATGCTTTCTTATCACTTGGAATTGATATTTTGTTCTTACAGAAAGAGTTTATAGACTTAAACAAACATAGATTTTTTTTTTTTCAAACATAGATTTTTATCATATAACTCTTTCAGAGATTTTATTTATTTTATTTTTTCCCCCCAAAGCCCCAGTAGATAGTTGTATGTCATAGCTGCACATCCTTCTAGTTGCTGTATGTGGGACTCGGCCTCAGGATGGACGGAGAAGTGGTGCCTCAATGCGCACCCAGGATCCGAACCCGGGCCACCAGCATTGCAGCGCGCGCACTTAACCACCAAGCCACAGGGCCGGCCCTATCATATAACTCTTATACATACAGTCATGCACTGCATAATGACGTTTCAGTCAGCGATGGACCGTGTGTACGATGGTGGTCCCATAAGATTAGTACCATACAGCCTCGGTGTGTAGTAGGTATACCATCTAGGTGTGTATACATACATTCTGTGATGTTCGCACAACGATGGAATTGCGTAACGGTGCATTTCTCAGAATGTATCCCTGTCATTGAGTGATGTATGCCTTTACTTAAAAAGGAAAATATAAGTGAAATAAATTGGTTAAAACTTCTTCACCTACAGAAACATACACTCCTCTCTTTTCATCTCAGTGTTGGTTTCTGTGTTTTTCCACATACCGTTTTCCTCAGGCCACCAAGAGCTTTTGTGATTTGGCATTTCTTTAAAAGAGGATGAAAGGCCTCAGTGCTGAGTTTTTACCTGGCTTTGTAGTTATGTAGGACTGGCCTACTTTTGACTCCCACATGGGGAATGTTGCTAAACATGTCTAATTCACCATCCCTTAAATATTGGTTCTCAGGGATTCTAGTGTAGTCTCTAGGATTTTCTTCCAAGCTGCTGACACTTACTTGGCCAATTTTGATGGCTTTGATATTTGCTTAGGAGAAGGCAATGACAATTATGTCACCGAAAGTGACATAATTTGACCGAAAGTAGTTATAAGATTGCCATTAATTACAAGAGGCATCCTCACTTCAGAGATGTTAAAATATGAACAGAAATCATAAAAGTGGTGAAAAATGATGCCTTGTATTACCATGAACTGTAAATAGAATAACTCCAACTGGTCACCCAGGCCACGAGGCAGGGGTTCCTCAGGCTGTAACTATAGCCACAGCACTGCTTCTCATCATAGGCTTCAAGGCTAGAAAGGGGCCTCTAGGTTGTTGGTATATAAAAAGTACAATTCCAGAGCAGGGTTATGGAAATTGTGGTAAATTTTAAGGGTTTACATTTAACAAATTAATGCTTCTCTAATGCACACACACAAAGTATAGTTAGATATCTTATTCACAAGTTAGTCATAGGGTTTATTAAATATTTATGGCGCTCTGCAGCCTATGTAGGTCTCGAAAAGGGACATAAGTGTAAACTCGGTGATGAACGTGTTCTTTCAGTGCGTCTCTTGTTAGATCTATGATCGTGTTTGAGAGAATGTCCATTTTAAATTTGAGGCCCAGGGTTAGATGGTACCCTGTCATGCCCTGCATGCCCTCCATCTTGAAGTAATTTAAGCCCAAGGTGTTAATATTTGAAGCTTAGACCTCTTTGCAACATTTCAAGTGTAGCAAAGCCCTGATTTCAAGCTGTAGAAATTAGGGTCATAATCTTCTTATTTTACTAATTAAAAAAGGGGCTTATTTTCATTGAGTAACTCCTTTCTCATTAACACTTCTTGTCTGCTAACTCTTAAACAGGAATATAACTACATAGATAAGGAACTCCACCTCTGATGCCTGTCCCCTTGAGTCACAGGAAATTAGTCTGGTGGGAAGTTTTCTCATCCTGCTTCATTCGTTCATCATGAAATCTTTTCTTACCTCAAAACTTGGTTCTTATTTTGAGTAGAGGAACTACCAAGGATTTTATTCTTTGGAATTATTCTTAGGCTGCTAAATAACTTAGGTTCAAATTATCCCCTTAGTATTTTTGGTTAGAGGATATGAAAATGTTTTCATTCTGAGGGACATTCATAATAATAGTTAATGACTTCCAAACTTCTATTATAAATCTGACAGTCTAGAGTCTCAATTTATTTAAGATTTTTCAAAATCTTTCTGTGGTGCTGATCTTGATATCAGTAAACTTTCTTCATCATTGATAATACCATTTAAATAATTTTGTTTCATATTTTTAAGTCTAATACTAGTAATGAGATGAAGCTACCATCACTGAAGGATATTTATCATAAAAAACAAAGGGAAAACAAGCAGTTACCTGAGAGGAATCTCATCTCTGCTTCCAACCCAAATCATCTACCAGAGGTAAAGTTGTCAACACTCTGCTGAGTGGAAATGAAAGATGCTTCATAACTCTAACTTTGTCTTAAGCTTAATTTTCCCTAGGAGATCTAAAGCCTACTCACGTAAAAACAAAAACTGAATACTGAGGGTGGAACCTTACATTGTCTGTCTTATTTCTAGATACTGACTCTAGATCCAACGTTACACATGAAGCCAAATCAGCAGATTTCAGGGATTCAACCACATGGCTTTTTGAATGCCCTTGATGACGGAATATCCTTTTCACCAGACTCTGTTCTAGAACCCACTATGTCTAGTCACTCTGACATAGACTCATTTTCACAAGCAAGTAATGTCGCTTCTCAGTTATCTGGATTTCCAAAATATCCTTCAAATACAAAAGCTTCACCAATGGACCCGTGGAAAAATCATGCATTCCAGAATGAAAGTAGGACCAGCTCTACGTTTCCTTCAGTATATACTGTTACTAGTAATGACATCTCGGTCAACACTGTAGATGAAGAAAACACTGTCTTGGTAACTTCAGCCTCAGTCAGTCAGTCCCAGCTTCCAGGTACAGCCAACAGTGTCCCAGAATGCATTTCATTGACTTCCCTGGAAGATCCTGTGATATTGTCTAAGTATGTATTTCAGTGAATGGCTTGTAATCTTAATAGATTTTCTATGATGTCTGCTTAAATGATGAAAATGATTTTTATTGTACTTCAGTAATTTATAAAATCTTAAGTTAAAAAATGAGATATAGTATTTTTAAGGTGGAGGATCTAAAAATTAAATGATACATGTCTTTTTTTTCCTTCACTTTGTTAGTAGTCAACTTATGTATTAATCTGTTATATTTTCTGTAGGTGTGCAAAGGAAAAAGATTATTTTTGCTTGTAAGAGTGATTGTTATTGGTTTCTCTTATGGGATAGAGAGTGAGGAGATGCTTTCCTAATAATTTTTTTTACTCTCACCAACAGTATTAGGCAGAACCTGAAGGAAAAGCATGCTCGACACATAGCGGATCTTCGAGCTTATTATGAATCAGAAATAAATAGTCTGAAACAGAAACTGGAGGCGAAAGAAATTTCTGCAGTTAAAGATTGGAAGAAAACCAATCAAATTCTTGTAGACAGGTAAAACTTATAATTTAACTGTAAAGTTAGTGTTTCTCCAACTTGGATATATTATTTTCCCCACAGTGTAGTATATTGTGATGATAAAACACTTGGAAAATTTTAACACAGAAACGTTTGCCTAATTATTTTTACATATTTGAACCAACCTCTTACCATACACTTATAACTGACATGAGGACATTTGTTTCATATGGACAAAATACTGAAACAGTTGAGCAGATATTGTATACAGAAAGGAATGTCATTTATGGAAGGATTAGTACTATATATGGATTCCCTAATAAGAAGTCTATGACTATTGTCCTGGGGCAGTTCTCACCCCATTTTTAGACCCAGATTACTCATGACTTCAACCCAGACACTCATGAACCTGTGGAAGCAAGTATCCTCTTAGAAAAACCATAGAAACACAGAGGAGACTGACCTCATATAGGGGATAGCTTTACACCTATTTTAGAGAGAATCATCTACAAAATTTGATGCTTTAACTAGTATTAATAACAGCATACTTGCAACCTATTTACAATTAAACGGGACTTGAGCACATTAAAAACTGCTCAGGTCTAGGTGACAGCAAAGGATTCTTCTCTAGGGCAAAAAAGACACAGCCCCTTGAAAAAAGATGAGGAGGGAACTGAAATCTCCTGGTCCAGTTGTCTGACAGTTTAACTTGCAGAATTCTAGGAAAACTAGTCATTACACTAGTTTGTGGTTGCTGTGGTAGTTAACATGCTGTGTTATTCCTGAGTGTTTATACAGCTTCCATTTTGCTGTCGGTAGTGGGGATGGGGGCACAGGGGTAGAGAGAAGTAATTTGAGAAGGGCCAGAAAGAAAAGCCACGTTTAGGTTTTCTACGACAAAAAGAAAAGAGTAGACAGTAGGCTAGGGGAAGTTGGTTCTTGTTTTTTTTTTTTAAGAAGGCGAAGATGACCACAGGTACTTCCTGTTGGAAAACAGAAGTATGAAAAAAGCCCACCAGTGGACCTTGTAAGGTTAAAGACAGAGTGCCTAAGAAGACACCTAGTAAATGATAGCTAATTAAAACATTTTTATGTCTAGAAACTGCTAGAGCACATAGAGCAGTGAAGAGTGTATGTGGAGCAGATTGGAAGTCAGGGTTTTCAATAAGTGGACGTGTTATAATTTGGGTACTGGAGTATGTGTATCAATAGCATGCAAATGAATAGCAATACATTATTTTCTCATGCTACCTGCAAAAGGATTTGAAACAAAGTGAGAAGTTGCAATCGTTTAGAACTGGAGAAATGATTCACCTAAAACCAATATTATGTTGTCAGCATACACAGCAGCAGATTTTTTCAAACTTAAAATTGCAAATTGGAGCATCCCACTGCTACTGCAAATGGGCCATTAACACATATATTGTAGGCCAGCTGTGATATCAGATTGTTATTTCACACAGTTGCAACTCAGGGGACGAGATATCTCACATACCAGAATCAGTGTGGTAATTAAAATAGAAAAATACAGTTAACACACCTACACTTGATTATTTAGTGATCATTCTTTCAAGAACAGTTTTATTAGTATTTCATTTCTGCATGGCATTGATACATAGTGGTTAGGAGCATGAACTCTGGGGCCAGACTGCCTGGCCTAGAATCCCAGTGTGACTGCTTACAACTCAGGAGGAATTTAACTTCTCTGCCTTTGTTTTCTCATCTGTAAAATGGGAATGATGACAATCCCAACTCACAGAATTGTCAGGATGAATGTAAAGTGCTTAACATAGACTGGGCATGTAATCAGTGCCAAACAAGTATTAGCTTTTATTCACAATACATCATTAAACACTGAGTTAAAATGGTAACTGAATTCTTTGATGTATTTTGTTACTTTGAGGTTCTATAATTAACTTTACAAAGAAAGTCTTTAATTATAAGAAAAATGTATTTATGCTAATTTGAAATAGTACAGAAGGATCTAATATGAAGTCTCCCTACCCCAATCTCTCCTTTCACATCCCAGACTTAATTTTTTGCTTCCTTCTAGAAATCATGATGCACATATATATATAGGTTTTTTTTCCATAACAATGATCAAGCTATTTTATGCAATCTTCTATATCTTGCTTTTTTAAATTTAAATCTTATTTTTAATGTAAAATTTTAACCTTTTTTTTTTTTGCTGAGGAAGATTCGCCCTAAGCCAACATCTGTTGCCAATCTTCCTCTTTTTTTTGCTTGAGAAAGAGTAGCCCTGAGCTAACATCTGTGCCAGTCTTCTTCTACTTTGTATGTGGGTCGCCGCCACAGCATGGCTGAGGAGTGGTGTATGTCCGTGCCCAGGATCCAAACCTGTGAACCTGCACCACCGAAGCAGAGCATGCTGAACTCAACCACTATGCCATGGGCTGCCCCCTATTTTAACAGTTGTACAGTTCGCTGGCATTAAGTATATTCATGTTGTTGTGCAACCATCACCACCATCCATCTCCAGAACTTTTTCCTCTTGCAAAATTGACACTCTGTACCCATTAAACAACAGCTCCCCATTCCCATCTCCTCCAAGCCCCTGGCAACCATTGTTCTACTTTCTGTCTTTAGTAATTTGATGCCTCTGAGTGCCTTGTATAAGTGGAATCAATATAAGTAGAATCATTTGTCGCCTTGTGACTGGCTTATTTCACTTGGCATAATGTCCTTGAGGTTCATCCATGTTGTAGTATATGTCAGGATTTCTTTCCTTTTTAAGACTGAATAATATTCCAGTGTGTGTGGTGTGGGTGTGTGTGTGTATTGCATTTTGTTTCCATTCATCCCTTGATGAACACTTGGGTTGCTTCCACCTTTTGGCTATTGTGAATAATGCTGCTGTGAATGTGGATGTATAAATATCAGTTCATATCTTGCTTTTTTCACGTAATATTTGTTAGAGATCTTTTTATATCATTATTTTCTCTGGATACTGTAATATCAGGTTCATTGGGATATATTTTACGAAAATGGCATCCTGAGTCTTAGCTAATATTGGAGAATTTGTTATATGTTATATTTTGGAGAATCAGATTTATATAATACTTGTAAGGGAAAGGATTTTATCTTCTAATTGTTTCATTTCAATTTATGGTTTTTAGATGTGGCCAATTAGATAGTGCTCTGAATGAAGCTACTAGTCGTGTAAGAACACTTGAAAATAAGAATAACTTACTGGAAATAGAAGTGGTAAGTAAGCACTCTGTATTTTGTTGTTCTGTTGACTTAATGTTAAAAATTTAAGCCTTTTTGTTAGTTGAACTTTACAGACAAATGAATAGTTCTATAAAAACATTGGTTATGTGTTTTTTGTCTTCTTTAGAATGTCTTAAGTTATGTTTATATTTTGAGTGCTGCTGGCTTCATATGATACTATAAACTTTTATCCTTTAAAAGTTTTTTTATGGGGAGATAATTTCCATATCATAAAACTCACCCTTTTAAAGTGTTCAATTCAGTGGTTTTTAGTATATTCACAGACTTGCACAACCATCACCACAATAAATTTTAGAACATTTTTCTTTCTTTTTTTTTTTTTTGTGAGGAAGATCAGCCCTGAGCTAACATCTGTGCTAATCCTCTTTTTGCTGAGGAAGACCGGCTCTGAGCTAACATCTATTGCCAGTCCTCCTCCTTTTTTTTCCCCAAAACCCCAGTAGACAGTTGTATGTCATAGCTGCACGTCCTTCTAGTTGCTGTATGTGGGACGCGGCCTCAGCATGGCCGGAGAAGCGGTGCGTCGGTGCGCGCCTGGGATCCGAACCCGGGCCACCAGTAGCGGAGCGCACACACTTAACTGCTAAGCCACGAGGCCGGCCTAGAACATTTTTCTCAAAAAGAAACCCTGAACCCTTCAGCCATCACCCCCCGAACATCCCCTCCTCCCCAGCCACTAGCTACCACTACTCTACTTTCCGTTTCTATGGATTTGCCTATTCTGGACATTTAATTTAAATGGAATCACGCAATATGTAACTCTTTCACTTAGCATAATGTTTTCGTGGTTTATCTATGTTGTAGCATGTATCAGTACTTAATTCCTTCTTTTTTTTGTGAGGAAGATCAGCCCTGAGCTAACATCCGATGCCAGTCCTCCTCTTTTTTGCTGAGGAAGATTGGCCCTGGGCTAACATCCGTGCCCATCTTCCTCTACTTTATATGGGATGCCGCCACAGCATGGTTTGACAAGCGGTGTGTCAGTGTGCGCCTGGGATCCGAACCTGCGAACCCTGGGCCTCCGAAGCAGAGTACACGCACTTAACAGCTGTGCCGCCCCACTTAATTCCTTTTTATGGCCAAATAATATTCTACTATGTGGATAGACCACATTTTGTTTATCCATTCATCAGGTGATGGATGTTTGGGTTGTTTTCACTTTTTGGCTATTATGAATGATAGTGCCATGAACATTTGTATACAAGATTTTGTGTGGACGTGTTTTCAGTTTTCTTGGATATATAACTAGGAATGCGTAAACTTTTACTCTTAAAATTGTTTTCATGGGGCTGGCCCAGTGGCGTAGCGGTTAAGTGCTCGCTCTCCGCTCTGGCAGCCCGAGGGTTCGCAGGTTTGGATCCCGGGTGCGCGCCGACGCACTGCTCGTCAAGCCATGCTGTGGCAGCGTCCCATATAAAGTGGAGGAAGATGGGCACAGATGTTAGCCCAGGGCCAGTCTCCCTCAGCAAAAAGAGGAGGATTGGCATGGATGTTAGCTCAGGGCTGATATTCCTCACAAAAAAAAAAAAATTTTTTTTTCATGTGATAACCAAGTTTTGGTCTTCTACCTGTAACTTTATAAACAATATTTTGATGGAAAATGCCAGTTGTGTTCTATACACTGTGTCTTTGTCTTTGATGGTTTTTTTAGTTATCTTTTTCTCCTCCTAAACTGTAAACTTTATGAAGTCAGGGACCTATGTTTCTTGTTAATCTTATATTTCTAGCACCCTAGTGCCTGGCACCTAGTGGATATTCAAGAAATGATTGTTGAGGGCCAGCCTGGTGGCAGAGTGGTTAAATTCTCACGCTTTGCTTTGGTGGCCCTGGGTTTGCATGTTTGGATCCTGGGTGTGGACCTATGCACTGCTTACCAAGCCATGCTGTGGCAGGCATCCCACATATTAAGTAGGGGAAGATGGGCACGGATATTAGACCAGATTCAGTCTTCCTCAGCAAAAAGAGGAGGATTGGCAGCAGGTGTTAGCTCAGGGCTAATCTTCCTCACCAAAAAAAAAAAAAGAAAAAAAGAAAAAGAAATGATTGTTAAGTGAATATTAACATATCAGATGTGTTTTGAATTTTCTCTTTTCTTTTCATAGTAAGTGAGAGAATAGGGAAAGAAATGCTTTTTCCCTCCCTAAATATTAATGTGTAGTGACAAATTCCAGCTATACTTTCAGAACCATTTCCCTAATAGCCATGGTTATTTTTTCCTCATTAAAGTGATCTACAGATGAATCCTGGAATTGTAATGCCTCAGACAGTGGTTTCTGTATATACTTTATGGTAATCTCATGGAGCTATTATTCTGGTAGAGTAATCCTTTCTAGTCTCCCTTCCAGGATTAACAAAATAGTAAAGGTGTTGATTTCTGTTTGTATTATTACTTTTCTTTATATTTTAATGCCCATAGTTTATTAGTTGCTGTTGAAACATCTATTTTTTTTATTAAAAACAATTTATTATCCTTGTCTTTGTTTTGAAGGGTGATTTCAGAGAACGCTTCAATGCAGCCAGCAGTGCCTCCAAAATTTTGCAGGAGCGAATTGAAGAAATGAGAACAAGTAATAAAGAAAAAGATAATACCATCATGCGACTGAAATCTAGACTGCAGGATTTAGAAGAAGCATTTGAGAGTGCTTACAAACTCTCAGATGATAAAGAAGCCAGACTAAAACAAGAAAACAAAATGTTTCAAGATGTAAGTGACAGTGGTAACTTAATGACGTGCTTGGCTAAAAATGATTTTAGATATTGTGCTCTTACAAGCTATGATGACTTTTTCTGTGTTTATTTTCGTTTTACATACCTTTGCTGTAGCTGCAAATATGTACCCTTCTGATCGAGTCAGTTGGGTCTTATCATGAGGCAGGAAGTCAGAGCTTTCAGAACTGTGGTGTCACTCCCACGCCTTTCTGTCTCCAGCAGGTCAGCTTTTGAGCTATCTTAAATTAACATCTGTGTGTCTGGCAGGGTAAAATGAACCAGATTTAGAACAGGTTTGATTGAATTTTTTCACTTTGATTTAATTTCACTTAAGATTTAGATTTGTGTAACGCTGAAACTGAGTTAGGTTTCAGCTTGTGTATTTTTCCCCAAGTTTTTCTTAATATCCTTTGTCATGATGTATAAAAAATCTGAAAGTATTTCGGCTGTTGAAATTTTCTTCCTGATAGCCTTCGATTTGATTCTTGTTGCTTTGGTCTTTTAAACTTATTTACCTGAAAGTAATACATGTAAATGGTTTAAATAGTCAAATCTCAAATGAAAAACAGCCATCTTCTCTACCTCTCCCTACCTTAGAGTCCCCTATCCTAGAGGCCATTACTTTGAGCTCTTTAGCTATTTTTTCTAGCATTTTTCTCCATGTTTCTAAATAACAAATTTATATTGCTCTTTCCTTTCTTTTCCCTGTCAATTTCAGACATTATATATTAACTTGCTTCTGTGCAAGGTCACAGTTCAGCTTTTTTTTTTTTTTTTGTGAGGAGGATGAGCCCCGTGCTGACATCTACCAATCCTCCTCTTTTTTTTGCTGAGGAAGACTGGCCCTGGGCTAACATCCGTGCCCATCTTCCTCCACTTCATATGGGACGCCGCCACAGCATGGCTTGCCAAGTGGTGCGTGGGTGCGCGCCCAGGACCCGAACCCTGGGCTGCCGCAGCAGAGCGCGCTCACTTAACCGCTTGCGCCACCCAGGCCGGCCCCACTGCTTTGTTTTCTTATCTGCTTACTTTTCTATATGCCTAGCACTTACTCCTCCCCAGCCCCACCCCCAATACCCTTGCTTCAGTCTGAACTGGTTGCTCTCGAGGTCTGATACACAGATCTTCTAGGACTTTGCTTCCTTGTCATCTTGGAAATTGTCTTTGCTTCTTTCCTGTATTGGATCTATCATTTTGTGTGTTTTGTCTTTCTTGGTTTAACTCTTTGTTTTCCTAAAGTACGTCTCCTGGGAAAAAGAATTCATGGGAGACAAATTTTGAGAACTTCCACATCTGCAACTTCTATTGTTTGCAGTCACACTTTACTTTTTAAAACTTACTTTATGTTTTAGAACAGTTTTAGATTTACAGAAAAATTGAGAAGATAGTAGTGTTTTCACATACCCTCCATTGTTTCCCCTCTTATTAACATCTTATATTAGTATGGCATATTTGACACAATTAATGAACCAATATTGATACGTTATTAAGTAAACTCCATAGTTTATTCAGATTTCCTTCATTTTTACCTCGTGTTCTTGTTTCTGTTCCAGGACACCACATTACATTTAGTTATAATGTCTCCTTAGGCTCCTCTTGGCTGTGACAGTTTCTCAGACTTTCTTGTTTTTGATGACCGTGACAGTTCTGAGGAATACTCATCAGGTATTTTGTAGGATGTCCCTTGGGATTTGTCTAATATTTTTCTCGTGATTAGACTGGGGTTATAGGTTATTAGGAGGAAAATCACAGAGATAAAGTACCATTTTTGGCACATCATATCAACGAGCCCTGTATGTTTTTTATTCCTCTCCAGTCATTTTACTAAAGTTTCAGGAGGGCTGGATATAAACACTGTTCCTTATGCCGTATTTTGTTAGAACTTTACATAGCTTTGATTATTACTGTTCTTATTCACATGTATTAATAGTATAATTTTAGTGTGTGTGAGTACATGAGCTCCTGGGCTCCTGGTTTTTACAACTTCTTGTACTTTTTACTTTGGCATAATATCGCACTTACAGAAAGTTGTAAAAATTGTATAAAGAATTTCCATATTCCCTTCACCTAGATTCTAAATGTTAACGTTTCACAATATGTGCTTTATCTATAATGAACCTTTATCTCTAAATACTTCAAGGTATATTTCCTAAAAACAAGACCAATCTTTTTTATAACCACAGCAAAATTAGGAAATTAACTTTATTTTTTTTTTTTTAAAATTTTTTATTTATTTATTTTTCCCCTAAAGCCCCAGGCGATAGTTGTATGTCATAGTTGCACATTCTTCTAGTTGCTGTATGTGGGACGCGGCCTCAGCATGGCCGGAGTAGCAGTGCGTCTGTGCGCGCCCGGGATCCGAACCCGGGCCGCCTGCATCGGAGCGCACGCACTTAACCGCTAAGCCACGGGGCCGGTCCGGAAATTAACTTTAATATAGTCTTCTTTAATTTATAGACTTTATTCAGTTTTTGCAAATTATACTCCTAGTGTTCGTTATACCAAAAGAAAAAACTTTCTTTTCCCTTGTCCAGGATCCAGTCCAGGATTATGTGTTGCACTGAGTTGTCATATCTTTTTTTATCTCCTTTAATCTGGAACAGTTCTCAGTTTTTCTTTTTCTTTTATAGCCTTAAAACTCTTTGAAGCTGATAGACTAATTATTTGATAGAACTATGCTTTCTAATATGGTAGCCACTAGCCACATGTGACTATTTAAATTTACATTGATTACAGTTAAATAAAATTGAAAATTTAGTTCCTCGGTTGCACTCCCCACATTTCGAATGCTCAGTAGTCACATGTGGTTAGTGGCTACTGTATTTAGGGCAGTGCTGATAGAGAATTCTCCCATCATTGTAGAAAGTTTTGTTGGGCAGCACTGTTGTAGAATGTTCCTCAGTTTGAGTTTGTGTTGCTTCGCAGTTAGATTCCGGTTCTTACAATGCACAGGAATCCCCCAGAAGTGAGCTGAGCCCTTCTTAGCACACCCTGTTAGGAGGCATGTGTTGACTTGGTGATATTAATTTCCATCACTTAGTTAAGGTGGTGATTGCCAGGTGTCTCCACTATAAGGTTCCCTCCCCCACCTTTGGAATTAGTAAGTAACTTGTGAGGGGATAATTTAAGACTCTGTAAATCGCCTTTTTCTCATCAAATTTCTACTCACTAGCTTTAGCATCCACTGAGGAGTCTTGCTTGAAACAAGTAATTACTGTGATGGTTGCCAAATGGTGGTTTTTCCAGTTCTCTTATTCCTGCTACATTTTACTGAAAGGAGACACTCTCCTTTCTCCTTTATTTATTCATATCAGTGTGGGCTCATGCATTCTTATTTTATTCAGTGAGTTAGTTGTTTTTTTACTATGATTATTATTTTGATGCTTGCATTGTTCTAGTTTTGGCCTGAGGAATACATGTCAGGCTGGCTCTTGTGTCATTTTGGTGTGTTCCTATCATTCTTTGATCAAGTCCAAACTTCTTGGCACAGCAAGATGTTCCAGGCTCATCTTGAACTTTTCCAGCCCCAGTCCTAAATCAGTCATTTTTTCAAGGAGCCCTGGTTCCTTTAAGTGAAAAATGGTATTTAGAAACTAAGTTGTGGGTATGTTCGTTGCTACTGGGATGTCATTGTTTTTAATTGTTCAAAAACCCACCATGGTTATGTTTGAGTAGCAGTGATGCAGCAAAGGATAGCTAGAATGTTGTTTTCAGCTGAAATGATCTTAATGTTGCCAGTGATAACACTGACTTTCTTTGCATTCATGTCAAATATTTTAAGCCTACAGAAAGCAATAGAGAGTAATATATTGAATACCCATGTACTAGCCCTCTGTAGATACGGTTGAAATACCCTCTTTTCCTTTCTCTCCCCCGCTAGAGGTACCTGCTATGCTAAATGTGCTCTCAGTTATCCCCATGCATTTCTTTTTACTTTTACTACATATGCATGTGTCTATCAACAATATATATAGCAATGTGTTATATGCTCTTAGACTATATGTGAGTTGCACTGCACTGCATATATCCTTCTGCAGCCTCTTCTTTTCTCTCCACATTGTTTCTGAGATTTACCATGTTGATACTTGTAGCTTTTATTTATTTTTATTTAAACATTTATATTTGAAATATTTCCAGATTTCTGGTATATAAAAAGGTATAAAGAATAACATAACAAATACACATGGACCCACCACTCATCTTAAGAATTAAAACACTACAGATACATTGAAGTTCCCGTGAACCCTTTTCTGATCACCTCTGCCTTCGTAGGAGTAACTGATCTGAATAATGTGAATGTCATTCCCATGTCTTTCTTTGTATCATTACATGTGTATGTCTGCTTAATTGGGATGGTTTGTTCGGCATATCTTAAAACTTTATAAATGTTATCATACTGTATTTACCATTCTGCAACTTTTTTTATTTGTAAGATTTACCCAAGCACATACATGTAGCACTAGTTCATTTGTTTTCATTCCTGTGTAGTATTCCATTGTGTGAATCTTTCACAATTTATTTATCCATTTTCCTGTTGCCAGTTTCTTTTAATTGCCATTATGAGCAATACTACCGTGAACATTCCTATACATGTCTACTTATGCAAACATGTACAAGTACCTCTAGGGTATTGTTCCAGTTACCAGAGCTACCAGACTCCAAAACTGGATGTATTCTGCTCATGGACTCAGTGGTTCAGGAACTTGGACTGGGCACAGCAGGGGCAGCTTGTCTGCTCTGCAATATCTAGGACCTCAGCTGGAAATTCAAAGGCTGGGGGCTGGTTGTTGATGATGGCTGTTGACTAAGGCTGCCAGTCCTCTCCGTGTGGGCTGGTTTGGGCTTCTTTGCAGCATGGTGGCTAAGTATCAAGGACAAGCATCCTGAAAGAGTGTCCTGACAGCCACGTGGCCTTTTATGACCTAGCCTAGAAATCGTACAGCATCACTTCTGTCACATTCTATTTGTTAAACAGCCCCAAAGTCTTGCCCAGGT